GGCACGCACGCACGCGCACACACACACACACACACGCGCGCGCACACACACACACACACACGCACGCACGCACGCACACACACACAGACATACACATACACACACACGCACACACGCACGCACGCACACACAGACACACACACACACACATGCAAACAATTTGCTTTTTTCACACATGATCTCTCTTTCGTTCTCTCTTTCTATCACTCAGCGTGTAATTCTATCATTCATCGTGTAATTTTCCGCGTTGCTACAGGTGTCGGCGGTGAACCACGAAGACGTAATGAAATGCAAATGCACTGTCCTCCTCTCCATTTGTGCTTGTCTCTTGCTCAATTTCTTTTCTCTTTCGTCTTTTTCTCTCTCTCTCGCTCGCTCGTTCCCTCGCTCTATTTGGCCATCTCTCTCTCTCCCCCTCTCTCTCGATCTGTAGATCTATCTTTCTGTGCGTCTGTCTCACTCTCTCTCTCTCACACACCCTCTTATACCCCCATTTATATCTCCCGTCTATCTCTCTTCAACTTCTCTGCAGTTGACGGATATTGTACACTCACAGCGCTTATTTCTGTGAGCGCCAACTACGTACAAAGTGGAGAGCAGCATTGGCGCGGAAAACGTGCCATTAGCGTGGCCCGATGCGGTGCCATACACTACGAGTGTGTTTGCTTTGCATCAGATTACGCGCCACAGGAAGCTGTTTAGCGCAGGCTAGTGCCTTCAGCGAGACTAGATTTTAATCAGTTATGACACGAGTTCGGACAACATCTATAACTGTAAACCAAGCCCCTCACATTTTTCTTGCTCTCTCTCTCTCTCTCTCTCTCTCTCTCTCTCTCTTTCTCTCATTTCCCCTGTCACTTCATTCCTCTCTCGCTTCCGCTCTCGCTTTCTCATTTTTCACTCGCGCCACCATCTCTTTCTCTCTGTCTCTCTGTCTCTCTCTCTCTCTCTCTCTCTCTTTTTCGCTCTGTACTTCTCACTCTGTCTCTCTACTTTTCCCTTACTCTACACCTATCGCGCTATTCTGCTCTC